AGCCAAACCTCTAGACTCCCCAAGTTGACACAATGTTTCAACCGTAACACCTGCTCTCCACCAACTCTACTGTCAGCAGATGACCAGATGTGAGACTAAGAAGAAACACACTTTCCCTCAGCCAAGCCTCAAAAGCTCCTTGTCACCGCCCTCCTTGCTGAGAAGCCTCACACTGCAGGCTCCCGCGCTCCGCAGGTACAGGTCACTGACAGAAGACGGCAATTTTGTTATAAGCAAAACACACTAGCACAGTAACTAAAACACACTAAAATGAAGATAAAACTTGGCTCTTGGAGAACTACAGGGCTGAATCTTGTCAACTTATGAAATTTCCTGTTAGTACCTTATAGATGGAGACAGAAGGTAATAAATTAATCTTGTTGCTTATTAGTAGGTTCCCACTAAAAGAAGAACAAAAGCTAATATTGCCCTACAGTTTTAAAAAATAATTTGTGAATTCAATAGATTCATATTTGAAAACTACTCAGACAATAAAAGCTATATACTTTGGGGGAGTCACAAAGTCTTTCAGAATTTTTTACCAGAGTTTTTATACATTTTTTACCAGAGGTTTTATACATTTGTGGAGTTTTATGCATTTGTGGGCCAGGGATATAGCTCAGCGGCTGAGTTTGATTCCCAGTACCATCACCCCCATCCCCACTGGAATTGCTAAAACACTGGATATGAATCCAAGACCACTAGATGCTGGACTTTTTGAAGGTGATCCATGCAAGAAGTGTCACCATTACAAAACCATATACTTGTCATTATGATAGGGCAGAAGACTATTCAATGACATGTAAAGATGTTCTTGACACAACTACTTGTGCCAAAACAGTACCTATAACACTCAATTAAAATGCCAGAAAGATACCAAAAGAATTAAGTACAGTTACTACTTGGAGGTGAGATTACTGATGTTTTAATTTCCTTGCTGGACTTTCTAAAGTTGCTATAATGAACCTACTTTATAAAATCATTTTTAAAAAAGTATCACAGGGGAAGCTAGGTCCACCAGTGGCGGCTGTCATCCCAGCCACAGGCAGGAGGGCTGCTGTAAATTCGAGGCCAGCCTGGGCTACATAGTGAGTGCAAAGTCAGTCTGAACTACATAATGAGACCCTGTCTCAAAAAACAAAACAAGGGGCTGGGGATTTAGCTCAGCGGCACAGCGCCTGCCTGGCAAGCGCGAGGTCGTGAGTTCGATTCCTGGTACCAGAAAACAACAACAACAAAAGAAACCAAACCAAACCAAAATAAAACAAAACATCACAAGGACAAGGGAATGAGGGTCTACTTTAACAATGTAAAATTAAATTAAGTGGAGATGGAAGAAAGAGCCTTTTTCTCCAAAAACCTTTTTTCCAATTATGAAGTCCCTTCTGTAAACATCCCTGTCCAAAATCTAGGGAGGATGCATCTTAAGTAACATATACCTTCT